TTTAAGATGAATTACCTTCTTGTTCTTTGCAATAATTTTTTAAAACTTGTTGTAAAACTTCGGATATATATTAATAATAACAAATTTGATATAAAATGTTGCTTGAAACATGGATACATTTTTGAGAAAAGATAATAAAATACTACAAAATTTTCTGGTTTTGTTCGCTCGCCACGAACTAGATCCCTACGATACTCTTTACATGCTTTTACTCTTTAAAACACATTTTTAGCAACAAATCGTTCAATATATTTTACCTCTGCTTTTTTTTTCAATATACCACAGCAAACTGGTTTGAGTTGGTTGGAAATCCAGCTATTGATGTTACGAAACAAATAAAATATTACAGTTTAGGTCAAATTTAAGCTTTCCAACATTTCACTTACACTTAATGTCATGATATATAAGCAGCATTATATTATAACTCAAGAGAAGTTTTTTTACAAATAGCAATCATTCACTCACCTTGCTGGAATTACTGGAATTAGCACATATTCACCATGATTTAAGTTTTTAAAAGTCGGTTAAAACAAGCCTCAGAATAAACGATAACACGACAACCATCGATTGTTTCCTAATCACAGTACAATCAGGTTTGGTTAGTTAGGTGAATAGCGTCAAGAACGCGTCCATCGTGTGGATAAAGTTAATGTCGGAAGAACTCTCGTTCTTATAAGTGACTCTTGGTCATGATCCATAGAAATGGTCTTGACAAAATATCTACAATGAAACGTTTACAAACGCCAAAACTCACCAAAAAGACCGCAATTTTTTGCAGAATATGGGGATCTGAGACCCAAAAAGTAATTCAAAAACGAGAAGAGTTGCGGTTTGGTGTCAAATTTGGAGTGGAGATCATTCATAAAATTGTACGTATCTGGACTAGGACGAGTGGGATGAGGAGTGTTGCCCAGATTTGAACGATTGCTATGGTAACCACTTAAAATGGAAGAGAATAATTCCCGTGAAGGACAAGGAGTCATTTGCGTGCGAGATTATAATGCAACAATATCAAAATTTTCATAAATAATTTTAGAAATTGTTAAATTAAACCAACTTCACACACTTTTAGAGACGATGCAAACCAAATCCGATGCCTTTCTGTTTCCTTGTCCCAGCTCGTCAAGAAATAATCAAATGGACATGGAAAATTTTTGCTTTCAAACCACTTATCTCGTTGTTGAAAACACACCCGTCGATCACGTGATTCGAATCCATGTGACTTTTTTTATGGGGTCACGTTAAGTCACAAGTCTGCGGGAAAAAAAACAAATTTTATGTAAGCCTTAAGATCTTCTAGTTTGGCGTTTATATATCCCGAATTCCTATTATTGACTAACGTGGAAGAAGAAGAAGAAACAGCAGGAACTATAAATTTGAAAATCCGCACCAGATTTCGTATAGTTTTGACGTAATTATCTTAATAGCAACGGCGACCTTTCCAACATTATTATACTAACGTTGTGTATCAACCAAATGTGGCGCGTAATTATACTGACCTGGTTCCTCTCGATTAAAAATTACTTCACTGTTTCGTTCGACCTCCGACCAAGTCCACCATTCCGTTAATAGGTAAAAGTACACCCCGTATATTACCTGTACAACTTTTTCCGAGACACGATCTCTTTCGTAAAATCGTGATTGAAACTTTCATTGCCAAGGCAAACTGTTACCGTCGGCTGAACGATCGTGTTGTTTCTTTAAACGGGCTTCTTAACTAGCCTCAACGATATTCCAAAATACCTTTTGGTAAAATCATTTGTGACGATTCATTTTGCTTCATTATTACAGCAACTTAAAAAGTAAAACACGAGAACTCAACTTGCAAAGACCTATATAACAGTCTGTTAATAAAACTTGGACAACATGTTGTGGCGTACTATACGTGTATATCATTTACACACCATTTTATGTTGGGTCAAGTCATCACGCTCTGATGAGGTATCTAAATTGCAAAACAATATCCTTCGAAAACCCCGGTATTTTTCTTCTCGTCAACTGTTTCGGGACATGAGAATATCGACCCTCTTCATTCCTTGAAAAATTGATAATCAAAAATTGTTTGTTTTTTAGCAAATGATCTTATTTTGTTGTTCAAAGTGTTTAAAATGTATAAAAGCTTGTGTTTTGGTTAGTTGTGGAGACCGTTCAAATCGATATCGAGTAAGTGTTTTTTTTATGTTTTATTCAAAAGAACAAACCGCTAAGAAAAACTGAAATCGATTAAGGTAACACTACATGTTTTGGAAAAGATAAGGATCAATTTAATGGAAAGTGTACTCAAACGGACTTATCGATGGATAAGGTGACTCTAAAATTGGAACAACTTAGTTTTGCAGCTAAATAAATTGAAGATTTGGATGATCAATCAAATATAAAGAAATGGAAATATTATACTAGCTTTGAATACAGCATAATTAATTTGTTAATATTTGAAAGGATAAAGGATTATGTTCGCTTTACGAATACCACAGCATTAATTTGCTTTAATCAGTTGATCCTCAAACTTATAAAGTTATAAGGGCTCAATCCACACTTTAAAGAATTGACATATCATTTTAAACTTTGTACTTTTCAAAAACATATTTTAAAATATAATTAACCAATGCGTGACCTGTAAAAACCAATTTTTTTATGTAAAATAAAATTGTTAATACAATGACGCCTGCTTATCAAATTTGAACCAATACACGCAAATCATAATGATATAAGAAACAATTGTTTTAATAAAAGTCAGAAGTAAAAAACAAAACTTTTGTTTCAAAAAATAAAATACTTTATTTTTAAAAATCTATTTCGAATTTGTACATTGGTTGCAATACCAAGATACATTGTGAACAGTTTTTTAAATTTACACATTCAATTTGTTCCACATGCTTCTTGTTCACATTGGATAATGGATTTACCAATTTTTGAATTTTTATGCCAAAATTTCAAAACATTGGGAGACCATATAGCAAAATCGCAATATTCCAGATTTGATAGAAATACTTGAATCTGCAATTGATAATAATAAATATGAGAAATATGGGCACCTAATTATCAAGCACCTTCCCATGCAACACTCACAAAATACTAAAATATCTGGAAATTCAGCTAGTTGAGGCAACTTTTAAAAAAAAGTCATATTCAAAATACTTATGAGTTTGCAAACTCTTAAAAGCAGTAGTCTGCTATATAGTGTTAAAGCTATGGGAAAACACTAAATAACTTATAATATCCATAGTGGTGACTGGCAGAACTCCATTAATTGAATAGTCTGATTGTAGTTTCATCTGATATATATAAAAAAAAACATTTCATAAGGTAAACCACACCAGTTACAGATTTTATAAGTTTTTAATATTTTTTATATATTTTCTTGCTTTCAATAATGACTCTCCATCTCAAAATAACTTACACACGAAATAGGATGCTGCAAAAATCGATTTCAATTCTTAAAAACCCACCACACAAATAATTTTCTACCAAACCTACAAATACTACAATTGTGATTTAGATTGCCCAATTGCCACTATTGTTATTATGATTATTATTATTATTATTGTTATTATTGTTATTATTATTATTATTATTATTGTTGTTATTATTATTATTACAAAGAATAAATCGCGGAGGAGAACCTATTATGCACATTGATAGTTAGTAGCATAAGAATGTAATACATATAACAACTATCTAGTTATTGCTGTGAAACAATACACTGTCCAAGCGACGTTTAAATACAGACAAGTTCGTGGCACACACACCATCTGGGTGTAAGCTGTTCCAATAATCGAAAGTCCTATTACTTATAAAATGCAGGCGATTTGAAGTCCTGATTATTTTATTTCTTATTTTAAATGTCAAAGTGTCAGAACTGACAACAACAAAACAACAACAAAAATTTTTTGACCCCGCTTAATTATGAGTTTATCCTATTTTTTCGCTTTTTTGCAGCTTACCACACTAGTTGCATAATATATTCTTATTTTTTTTAACGATATTCATAGTTATATATTTTATTATATTATGAAATGCAAATAGTTTCCTTTTCAATTTCAATTTAAATTTCGAATGAATTAGAAATGAATCAGGGGGGTTTAGAAGCTAAATGAACTTTTAAACAACTATTATTTAACTATTTATTTAAACAACAGCATTAAAAGTTAACGCTAATCTCCAGTCTCAAGTCAAAAGTGAACGATTTTTATTGCGGGAATCCAGAAATTAATTAAATTTATTAACCATTCAATATAGAAATATGAAATAGTCCATCTTGGTTTATTATTAAGTGTTTCATGAATGTGAAAGACAATTTGGTCAAATGGGTTCGCTTGAAATCCATTCTGCGACTTATGAATTGAGTTATTATTTTCAAGACGTGTCTTTTATTAAAGGAAGCTTCAAAAACTTTTGCGAAGTGGGTTTGGAAAGAGGCAGATTTATATTTTTTTCCCTTTTTATTAATGGGTACGACTGTTGAAACTTTAAAAGAATCGGAGAAACTTTTTTTAATAAAGCAAACTTACTCAGATAACTAAAAAATAAATGATTCTTCCTGGCAAATCATCAGGGACAGTAAAAATATGTCAGACTAGGTTTGTTCGATGCCTTCTAAAATCTTTTTTTTTTGGAAATGAACGGTGTCGTGGTTAAAAAAAAACACAATCCAATCGTTCTTGTCACCAAAGAAAAATCAGAAAAGTGCCGACGGTTTCAAAAATAGAAACGAACAGAACAGTTAACCCAAAACCATCAACGGGAAATTCCCAAGAAACCCGAATTAAACCCATAAATTAACCAAAACACCCTCCCCACACCCCAGGATTACCCGCCTGGCCACACCCGAACCTACCGCGTTCGGCCAATGACGCAGCGACGTCGCGACGCTGGCCCCCGCGGCGTCGCCGCCCCAAATTCGACGCTCCGTCGGCCCAGGGCTTCATTCCTACGCCGAAACTTAACGACGTCGCGTCGAGACACGCGCCGGACGACAGAAAAGTGTACCTGGGGCTCTTCGCCGTGGCTCTTGACGGGGACAGGGCTGCCGAAGGCCCTGCGCAGGGCTCCTTTCAGTTTTTCGGGGGTCGAGGGGTCAGTGTCAATAACCTGAGAGGGTTTTTTAGTAGCCGAATCGGATCTGCCCTACCAGACACAGGTAAGTGGTCGAAAAATACGAAAAGAAATTGGAGTTTCAAAAGTCTCTTGCAAACTCCTGCAAGCGTTCGTGGTATTTCCCCCGTAAATAAGAAAATAAATTGGGCCGCGGTTACGCAATTGTTAGCGAATCGATAGCTTAAAGCACCTGCGAAATCTGTCCACTGAATTAATAAAAATTATCGATTAACAACTCCGGCCTACATGCGGACATGCACCTTTAAACCTGTACAAAATGGCGCATCTGTTATTCAAAATGGCGCGAATCGATACGAATCGTACAATACGAGGTCTGAAAACGAAATGTTCAATATGCGACACAAGCTTTCGATACGAAATGGCTTTTCGTTAGATTTTAAAATTTAAAAAATTTGCAGAAAAAGGTTGTCAAACTTTACCCAATCACAAATGAGGAGTAAAAGTTTACTTCCTTCGTATTGTCCTGCTCCTAGCACCACACATCACTTTTTTACCTTTTGCCAACTAATATAAGGTTTTTTCCTTGTCCATGCATCAAACACTTTCGTCATTCGCAATTCCAACTGTCCAAAATTCCACCATTTACTCAAGCATCTGCAAACCTTCCACCTACCAACAATTAGAGATCTTTCGATGACTCAGAAATGATTACTGAGTCACTGGCAACACGTACGTTGATAATTACATTCTCCATTTTTCAAACTATCAGGTACTACTGCATACAGACCGCAGGTTTGAGATGAGGCTTAAATATGGACAACGACTCATTAGTGACCGTAACAGGATTTTCAATTATCACTGACCTAAACTTTTGTTGTGAGTTATTAAAAAATATATTGCTGATTATGATATACAAAAATATCCTGTATTAATAAGAGCATTTGTTTAAGAAATTTGGGTAGCAAAAATTACTTGCTGAGATGACGGCATTTGATATTAACTTATACTTCGAACCGACTTATACCCACCAATACTGCCAGGGTAATTTTTGATACGTTTGTTACGTTACTTTTGATCAATATGAATATCTGACGACATTAACGAGATGTTTTAGGTAACTTATTTATTTGAGTTATGGGATACATTCTGTTGAAGAAGCTAAACATCATTAAGAATCCGCAAGAGACATTTAATGTACCAAGTTCAACATTCACACTTAAAAATTAAGCCAAATTGGAAAAGTCAAAAATTTGCATCTCAACTTCTATCCTATTAGGCAGAAAGAAGTTAAAAAATGTATATATGTTGAGCTGCATAACAACTTTGTCGCAAAATATAAATTTAGGCTTGTGTGCAATACCTTTATTTTTGAAAAATCAACGGTTAATAAGAAAAGTTGATCCTAATTGGAAACTATTGTAAGATATTCATTATTGATATGACATTTTTAAGAACTTCGGCATTCATAATGTAGTCTACTTCAAAACATTGATCTTTTGGAAAGAGTAACGGGAGCATGTCAAGAAATCACTCCAGATAGTATCAAGAATGTTTTGGAAATTTGATTAAAGAACCATTAAATGTGTAGTAAATTGCAAAAAATACAAAGAATTTTTTTTCCGGCATTCTTAAGAATGTTACTTATTACTTATTATTTGTTTATATTTTTATTGGAAAAATAAAATATCATATTTCAATGCCATACAACATTGTTACAGAAGCCTAGTAATGAGCTAAAAGATTTTCATGTTTTTCAGTAATACGTCAACATTTACAGAGTAAATTTATTCAGCAAGAAATCTAAGAAGCCAACGAAGGATGTCTCTTTCAGTACTCTTATCTTCATGATGGTCTCTAGTTCATTTTGACTGAAATGTTAACAAGCCACCACCAATTGTGCTACCAATGTGCGTAATTATTTACCTTTGCCGAGGCTACTTTTATTCCAGTGGACCATCCTTCCATGAAAGCTTGCCTCGAGCTTTTTATATTTTCCCTTCGAAACTGTCTCTTCTTTCTCTATTAACTGTAATTTCCTGTTATGAGTTTTCCATAATTTCTTCTAGCCCATGGACGGAATCAAATCATCCTTTTTCAATTTAGACACTATTTTGACGAAGGTATTTCTTTTTTAGCATTCTTGCCATCCTCATTTAGTACAGTTTCTTTTCCTCATGTACCGCTCCCTGGTGACCTGATAGGACCCCGTCTATCCTCGTCCACAAATCGGTATATTGTTGAATATGCGAATCCAGTTATAATCGAATGCACTTCTATTCTTCTATTTTTGCCACTCCGAATGTTGAGTATGGATGGTGACGAGCTTTGAACACATGGAAGCACAGAACCACTAGCCATTTTTAAGAACAAAACTTGCCAACAACTGCCAGAAAGTAAATATAATTCTGATTTTAATATGAATGATTTATAAATATCTCGCATAAAAAAAACGGTCTATTTTCTATCAAAATTGCTCGAATGAAAGTTCCTCCGCGAACGCGCTGTAAGCCTCCACGTGCCGATCCGTCAAAGGGGCGGGGGGGATGTCAGCGCAGTGCCTCCCCACCCGGCCTTTGCAAAATCTAAAACCATAATCTAAATAAACCGTTTTTGTCCAGGTCAATGGCGGAGGCACTGAACTGAACTGCACCCCGACCCCACGCGAAGAAAATCGGAAAATGGTGAATGTGATTGAGAAATTTTACCGGGAATCGTGAGCGGCGAAAAAGACACGATAAGGAGGATATGGATTGGGCCTGGTGCGACGACATAATACGAAAGGAGGCAAATCTATTTGATTAGGTCGAGTTTTAAGCCGCCATGCCTCCCAGGATACCGTTACTAAACCTCGAGTTCTCCGAACTCAAGGAAATAGTATGGGCGAAGCTCCAGGAGCCGCGCTATCAGCGCAAGTTGGTGTTGGTGATCGTCTCCATAGCCCTGCTATTGGATAACATGTTGTACATGGTAATTGTGCCCATTATACCGGACTACTTGCGGTATATAGGGGCGTATTCGGATGAGAACCCCCCGATTCCGGGAAACGTGACAGTGCCCCCTGGGACTCCCTTCAAACACGACCACCATGGCCAGGACTCGGCTACCGGCATCCTCTTCGCTTCCAAAGCCATCGTGCAACTGATGGTAAACCCTTTCTCAGGGGCGCTCATCGACCGCATAGGATACGACATACCCATGATGATCGGGCTGTGCATTATGTTCTTGAGCACGGCCGTCTTCGCATGCGGCAGAAGCTATGGCCTCCTCTTCTTCGCAAGGAGCTTGCAGGTAAGTGCTGGTTTTGCTCTGAGAATTTGTTGACCTCGTATACTAGACATATGGAGGCCCCCCCATGCCGCCAATACGGGGACTTACTTACAAACTTAAATAGTAAAGAAAAACTTTCTTCAAAATTGAAAAATTCTGGATAATAACCTGTCCATGTTACGAAAGCAAATTTAGTATTTACAAACCTTCTGGGTTCCCCTTGGATTTTTTGAATGGAATTTGCTGACGTTTCCTCAATTAGCTTGTTGACTTGTTCAGAGCTTTACTGAAACTGGCTCGCATTCTACTCTCTACCCGCTTATATACTGTTTGAAGGGAACGGAGCTATAGGACGGGCATAACCAAAGTCTCGGATAACTGATCTCCATATTCGTGACAGGTGAGTCGCCAGTTTTAAAGCCCTTTTATATATTTTTAGACTAATTAAACTCCCGTGTCTCAAAAGGAATTTTGTCTTTAATGAGGGATGGGGAAGTAGTATATTTGTTAAACTTTTAATACGTGGTCAGTAATGTTTTCAATGCAAGAAGGGACCACCAAGTGTGCAGTTGCTTACAAAACTCATTTTCTTTAGGGGGTTGTGGTGAAGTGTATTTTGTAATGGAACGCTTAATACAACTAACGTGAAAATTATTTGCGAGAGGGGCAGATGTCGACTACATGTCGACTTCAGCAAAGCCTTCGACAAAGTGCCACATCGACGCTTGTTATTCAAACTTGAAAAGGTTGGAGTGGGGGGTAAACTGCTAGAGTGGATAGCCGCGTTCTTAAGTCACCGGTCGTTCAGAGTTCGTATTGGTAACGCTTTTTCACTGCCACAAAACGTGCCCAGGGATCGATGCTAGGACCAGTGCTATTCTTAGTGTACACCGTGGATTTTCTCTCCAGCATTGATTCTCATGTGAGCGCTTATGCTGATGACACTAAATTATTTGAAAATCCTTCAACACATGCGGACGTATTGCAGAGAGACTTGAATACTATTTCCAAGTGGTGTTCAACTTTTCTATTGCCGCTGAATGCTCAAAAGTGCTCTGTGCTGCATGTTGGCAAGAACAATCCCGGTTTGAATTATTATATCATGGAAACTTTGTGTCCGTCTCAAAATACTTGGTCCGCCAACATTAAGTCAACGTCGGCTGCGAGGGGATCTCATTCAAATGTATAGGTTTGGGCATGACCAATTTCCATCTGTCGTGCCCCTTGTGGTCTTAAGCAATGGTGAACGCCTACGTGGTCATCCATTTAAAATAAGAAAGGAACAATTCAGGACTTTACATCGCCTGCATTTTATAAGTAACAGGACTTTAGATTATTGGAACCCCAGATGTTGTGTGTGCGTCGAAATTGTCTGTATTTAAACGTCGCTTGGACAGTGTATTGTTTCACAGCAATAACTAAATGTAGGCAAGATAGTTGATAACCGATGATTAGAATATCCAAGAATTGGTTTTAGATGGAAAATGTCGAGGTCTTTCTTCCCAAAAGCTTCCATAGATATATTTGCGATCACTCTTACAAGAAAAATGTATTTCAGACAAGCATCAGGTGAGAAGATTTGATTCGAGATTCTCGGATATTAATACATCCGAAATAATGTTAACATTTTGAGGGATAGGAATTTTATGAATCGTAGGTAGTCCTTAGAACGGGTGGAGGAGTGACAGATTTTTTCACGGATTGCATTCCATATATGGCACTTTGTTAAGGATAAATTCGACATTTGAAATTTGCGACCTTTTCCGAGAACTGATTTTCATTCTAAGAAAACTCTTGCAGTTTCAGTTAAGCTCTGAAGTTGCCGACAGGAAGATCGGCGAAACGTCAGCAGATTTGTCAATAACCGACGCAGGAGGAATCCAGAAGGTGTATAAATAGTATGCAAAATCTTCATTTACCACATATACCGGAAGTTTTCTAGAAAACACAACTTACAGTTAATATGATTGGTATATAATGCATTTTTTTATTTGTATGATGAAGACCCGTGAATAAAGTCACAAACGAAGTATGTAGATTTATGTTGGATTATCTCACAAACAATATACAACTGTGGAATAGGGATTTTGTTGCTGAAAAAAATTGACAGAGTATTTGATAATCATAAATACACCGAAATTATCGTGAATTTTGAATTTTGCGTAAAATAACGAGATACAGTAAGACTCGCGTATCGAGTAGGATATATTCCATCAAAGTAGAGTGTAATGCGAAACAACGCTAAACGAGGCTATCTTCTTAACATGTAAATAATGGTGTTAGGAAAATATAGATAGAAAAATGGTTAGGTATTAATTTTTTTTTCATAACCATAAAATCAAACATTTATTTCTTACAAAAATAAAAACAATATGAACGAATATAATTTACTTAAAAAAAATAAGTCAGTCAGATGATTCAGTCTATTCTGTGTTTCCAAGTTTCAGCCTTTCTGTTTTCATTTTGCGTTCTGTTAGAAGTTGACAAATTCAAACAAAACAAAAAAGACAAAAATAATTTCAATTATAGTGCTCAAACTCCATCGAACGTTTCTTTTGCTCATCTTCGAAATCACGAAATCAATATTTTTGTTTGCTCAGTTTATTCCTGAAACTCGTCATTAGAAAGCCTAGCTGCTGTTTCTTGAATTATTTCTTCAAAGTTTTCCACATTTGCCACATCTTAACCGGTTTGTTATATATCGACACAGTGGCTCCTTAAATTTGACCAAATGTTCTTCCATACTCCTTTCAAAGACCTTTCTGCAATCTCATTCCAAGGAAGGTTTATGTTTTGCACAGTAATCATGATATTGCAGTTTTTCCGAAATTTTCTTATTCATTGCTTTTCTTCTTTCGCCTGACAATTGTATATAATGCCTCGGACCATTGGTTGGATTAGACCACTTGAGTTAGATGGCAAGAAATCCACTTCTACTAAAATGGATTTTGTTAATAAATTTTTGGGTGGCTTGGAGCATTTCTGCTTAATAGTAGTGCTCTTTGTTCAATTTTTTTTTTATTACGCAATAACGTTTAACAGAGTGGCAGAAATGTTCAGTAAACCAATCCTGGAAAATTTTCATAGTTATCCATGATTTTTTATTAGACTACCTAACTACAGATAAAGTTGATTTAGATATGCATTTTTTGGGATCTTAGATAGTTGGTAAACTGGTAGTGGTTATAATTTGATCTTCTGCAGCTTTAAATCCTGGAGGATAGTGTTTTTAATGTCGTTTTCTTATCACCACTTGCTACTCCTACTATAATCTTTATGTTGTGAAAATTATTTCCATGTTTAAATCTATTAAACCATTTTTGGCTAGCAACGAGAGTTTTACTCATGCCACTTACCTTAGCCAGAATGTAAATAAAAATTCTTCTAGTTTTTTCCAATATGATTCATCCATATAAACAGACGTTTTTCCATTTCCTCTATAACGTTATTTCTAGAACAAATAATTCTAGTGTTATTAAGTATTACTAAGAATTAATAAGAGATCAACCGAAAGTGAGAAAAAAATATTCTGCAAACTAGAAAAACGTCAATTTCTACTTACCCATACAGCTCCAGATTTACCTGCAAATCCCAATACAAGCTGTGGAGGTGTTGCAATTTTTGTACGCGAGGATTGCTCATTTAACGAAATTTATATTACTCTAGATAGCGTTGAAAAAAAAAATGAATACACGTTGATTGAATTAAAGGGAAATAATCAAACGTATCTTGTTGGCAACAACAAAGGATCTAATATTGATAATATGTTTACTATATGATATGAGCCAGTGTAGTATACTGTGATATTTCTGATCACTTTTTGCAGTTAGTCTCGGTGCCTACCCACCACTAAAAATCGTTTTTTTAACGGTTTTTTACTGGGGGAATATAAATAATTTTTGTGAATGCGTTTCCAAGATTGATTGGGGCCCATTATTCCAGATAATTTGCCCTTTGGATATAGAATTTGATAGGTTCTTAGCAGTTTTTCAAGACGCGGGGTGCACCTCATTTCCCCTTGCAAGCCATGGTTATCGAGGGAACTTATAAAGATATCTTTAAAAGATAAAAATATACAAAAGACCAGAATGTAAAATCGAAAATTCTAAGCAAACTTATTACGGTAATTTGTCCTCCAGATTAAATAATGTTTCACAAACAGCATGGAACTTCATAAAAAACAATACTCATACTTCATAATGCCTCAAAACATAATCAGATTATTTTATTGATGAGAATGGGAACCGATTCGTTAACTATCAAGAAGCTATTGAGAATTAATCATTTTTTTATAGAATCTGCGAACAAAATAATAACTGATAATAAATCACAAATAAGAACAAAAAAAATATCCAAAAATAAAATAATATCAAACTCACTTTATTCTAGTTTTTATGGAATGCATGAAATATTCGAGGTTATTTTGTTAGTAAAAAGCATTCAGCTTGATGCAGTACTTAAAAAACTATCAGTTTATGCGTATGTACTCTGGCAATTGAGATATAAGGTTGATGTTCAGCCTTTGTTACTTTACTACTATTATGGCTGCGTACAATCCCGCTTGTCATATGCCATCGTGTGTTAGGGTATATAAGTGTGTCACGGGCGGTGAGGTGTTCAGACCACAAAATAGAATGCTGAAAATTATTTAATTTAAGCCATTGCAAAACATTATTTCCTAAACTAAATTTATCAAGGTTCCCGTCTGTCGTTTGGCTTCGATTATGCATTTATAAAATAATATATCAGATTACTCTGAGTCCAGAAACGGTCAATATGATTTGGTGGTGGATGTTGCCTAGGCCCAGGCTGGCTCGGGTAGCAAATAGCCCTATAGTTCTACCAGTTAAACTCTATAATAAACTCCCACTGAGGTTAAAAAAAAATAGTGCCTTTAAAAGTGTAGTTAAAAACAATTTAGCAACAAATTCTTTTCATGCTATAAACGAATATCTAAACTGCAACGACTCCCAGCTGATGCCTTAATTTATCTATTTAATTTTCACCCATTTTATATGACATTACGCTATACTTTGTTAAAAGTCAATGGAAGTAAAAATTTGTCTTGTCTATATGGTGGCAATTTTGCAATTAAAAATTGAACATCTACGATGTCTTACTCAATAGGTCCGTGAAGAAAAGCAAGATTTTCATTCCCAAATAAAAAAACCAAAATGAAACCCGAGGCCTCAACCCTTTAAGAAAACATAGATGAAACTTTTCGTCAAAATCTTACAAATTTAAATCTTTAATGGAAGATTGAATTTTCAGGGAGTGGGGTCCGCCTTCGCAGACACTTCCGGTCTCGCCATGATAGCGGACCGTTTCAACGAAGAATCGGAACGCTCCCAGGCGCTGGGCATAGCGTTGGCTTTCATCAGTTTCGGGTGTCTCGTAGCGCCCCCATTCGGCGGCGCGTTGTACCAATTCGCCGGCAAAGAGGTACCGTTCCTTATCCTCGCCTTCGTCTCCCTGATCGACGGTTTCATGCTCCTCATCGTCATGAAACCTTTAAAGACCCAAATCAAGGAGTCGCAAGTGGCGAAACCACCTTCGGTGCCGATATGGAAACTCTTCATGGATCCCTACATCGCCGTCTGTTCCGGTGCCCTGATGATGGCCAACGTGGCATTAGCGTTTCTAGAGCCCACGATATCTCTGTGGATGGAAGACAATTTGACGACCGACAATTGGAAAATCGGCATGGTGTGGTTGCCCGCGTTTATACCCCACGTCTTAGGGGTGGTCTTGACGGTGAAGATGGCCAAAAAGTATCCCCACTACCAATGGCTCATGGCAGCCGCAGGGTTGGGATTGGAAGGGCTGTGTTGCTTCATGATACCTTTCTCGACCAGTTACTTCGTCCTGATGATCCCGTTGTGCGGAATATGCTTCGGCGTCGCTCTCATAGATACCGCTTTGCTTCCCACCTTGGGTTATCTGGTAGACGTGCGATACGTGTCCGTTTACGGAAGCATTTACGCGATAGCGGACATATCTTACTCGGTGGCTTACGCAATAGGGCCGATTATAGCCGGCGAGGTGGTCGAAGCGATTGGCTTCACCGCATTGAACGTCGGCATAGCCCTGTCTAATTTGGCTTACGTGCCCGTGTTGTCTTATCTCAAACACATCTATGACTTTAAGCCATTTGAGAACGAGGCCAACGTTTTAATGGCGGACCCGCCGAATAAGGAATACCAAACGTACTCGATGCAAGAGCAGAAAACTGTGGAACAAGACGTGCAGAATCACCTCGAGTACAAGCAGCAAGAGACAAACTTCAACGACTACGGCGACAATTATCAGACTCCATACCAAGCACAACCCAACCAGGTTTACCAGCAGCAAGGGTCCTACCAAAATCAAACATATCAGAATCAAGTGCCCGCTCCTAGACCTCAAGGACAAGGTCGAGTGCTGCCGCAACAACCTCAGCAACCTGTGAACCCATTCAGACCGCAAGGTCCCGCGTCCACAGGAGGAAACCCGTTTAGGCAGGGGATGTAATGGGTTTTGTGTCTTTGGAACCTGTAAAAACGTGTAGTGTAAGTAAATTCTTATCTAAAGATATTTTCGATTTGTCTTATAGATCCGCTTCAACGATTTGAAGCGTTTTACTTTCCTTAGTGTTATTTTTTCGAGGTTTTTTAATATATAGATGGTATATCAACTGAGATCGCATACATATCAGAATCGAATGATTCAAATTATCTTACGATGTACGTGATAATAGGTCATAAGTTTAAAGTACAAGGAAAGTCCATCTTTTGAGAGCCGAACCATATTTTAAGGAGTACTTGTAGAAGTAAGTTTATTAAGCTATATAAAGCAATGTATCACGTAAGGTAAGAATTCGATTGGGTCTCGTTGTAACGTTAAAGTCTGATTCAATTGATAACGTGTTTTCAGCATTTCGTGATAAATTTGGGAATAACTTGTGGTACAACAAAATTAGCTAGGTCAAATAATGTAAATAATATAAAATAAGGGCGAGACAAACATAAGTAAAACTTAATTGTCTTCATAAACAAAAAACTGTTGTATTTAAGCAATGTTTAAATCCATATTGAAAAATCGCCATAATAATAATATTGTTTCATTTTCAACAGCTTCATCTTCAAACCCAATTACGCAAAAGTCACAAAATAAAACAAAACAATAAATGTCAGCGCTCTAATTTTCACCTAATCTCATACTTGCCCATAAACGTCAAATGTCAAAAAATTGAGAAATAAATTTATCATACTCATGACCCTCCTTACATTTAAAAACAGTGGGCAAGAAAAAAATTGATACCCTTGTTTCTAAGTTTCAAGGTTAAGAACATATTAACAGAGTACCAAAAAACAAACAAAAACGTTCCTTTGTCAAATTAAATAACAGATATAGAGTATGATGCAGAAAACTTCTCTAGAATTTTTCAAGATATCGAAATGAAACTGATGTGATGATTGTTATCAATTGTATATTTACTTTGATTTTTTATGGGAACCATCTTAAAAATATATCCAAACTCAACTGGAATCTAAAAGCCCAGGCGCATAAAACTGCATAACACAGCTATTTGGTGCTCTCTCTATATACAGAGTAGCTCATTACTAAGGCGTTCTCCAAATATATGAAAATTTGTACAAAAATTTTATATCCAAAAGTTATTTGCACAATGAATGAAATGAATTTAGTTTTCTTTTTTTTTTTTCAACTTTTTCCATAACAAGTACCGTGTGGAGATAAAAGATAACATCGAGAAAGTTAAATGGGCAGCTGTCAAGGAGTCCCCAAATTTATCAGAAGATACAGATGGAGCGTGCACATTTTTGTCCTGTAGCACTTAACGCATATCATAATAAGTGGACCTTATTTTCCAGACAACTGAGATCAATTATTAAGAACCTAATTTTGTGGGTCAATTCGGACCTAAAAATTACGTTAGAATAGAATAAAACTTTAGGCTATTTCGGTTAGATCGAAGAAAAGTTATTCTCCGCCTTGTGATATTCTACGACAAAAAGTGTCAATTTCTCGTAATTACCGGCGAAAAGAAATTCTAGCATATCGAACGGTCAATTTCCTGATCAACTAACTAATCGATCTAACTACCCCGCGGAATATCAAAAAATGGACTTTCTCACCTAGGTAAGGATACCTAAGGCACCTAAGTGGCCCCTCGCCCCGTCAAAGTAAGCACAAAATAGCTTTGCTACCGAAACAACTGATTTTATTTACACATTTACAACGTTTGTGTACTAGATATATTTTTCTCGCTAATTTCGCAATGGATATTAGAATAAACTAGAAGACTCTTAGCGTCAATTTGATGAATGTATACCGCATATAATCCACAGAGAATTTATTTTGCGCGTACGTGAGTTCTTAAGTATTTTAGGATGTATTTTGCTCACTCACTTAAGATATTGTACATAGTCGTAAGTTTATATTCACAGGGTTCATCCAAAGTAGAACAAATTCTGGTACGAAACCCAGTTTAGTTATGAACTTGAACGTTTCTATACTCCAGCTTTACCGGAAATTTACATAACCCAACCACATTAATCCAATTTATACTGAGAATGGTTTGCCCAATACCTTTAATACAGGCTTAAGACTAGAAGCTATTATAAGATATGGTGTGGAACCGAGGCCCTAGGAATTTAAAATGCCAAAAAATGATTGATCTGCTATTTACTAATTACATGACCAAGATACCGTTAGCCTATGTGAGCCAGAGGAAAGTTTTTCTTTGACAAGTAACGGCTGTTCACATCATGAAATGTAATGAACTGTTTACAAATCCTTTGTTAATACTGTTAATATGTTTGATATGACTATTAAATTAGATATTCATCAATTAACCAGAAGCAAATAACAAAGAAAGAAAACAATTTATAGCGTTGAAACCAAAGCAGATTTATAAAATACGTTGGTCAAATAGCGAGAGTACTATAGGGATTTAAATATATGAAACATACTTGATCCATATTGTAACGAAAGGCAAAAGATAAATCCTGATTTCAATTAAATATTTAATTGATATAATTATTGACTGCTTAGCAGGATTCTTGTAAAATTACAAGTCGTTGGTCCTATATTGGTCCAAGACCGAAGATAAAGGTGCAATATTGGAGCAAGTTAAAAACATGGGAGGTACAATGGATAATACCTATGGGTCCTATTTGTTTTGTTACAGATGTTCTACATCGTATAGCACTTAAATTTGAATTTGTATAATAGAATTTTTCAGTTTAGGAAAATAAGACGGAGATTAATTATAAGAATTAAAAAGAACACCTCGTTCCGAAAAATGAATAAGCTGTTTCCGATTGTTTTATTTGAACGCTTACTTAGGAGGCACACTGTACATAACACCATTTACTAACCAATCATAACTCCCATAAAGTGCTTGCGCCAAATTTTACCTCGCATCATCAATTTCTGAACCAAACACAAACCTCACAATCTGCATTGAGATTCGGCGAACCGCTAGATTCCGGTACGGGTACTATCTAGTATGTGCTGGAGTAGGATAGTGCGCGTTAGTATATATTGGGATTTAGTTTAATAATAAAGTCAATCTATTGAATCTTAGCGGAAACCAGTGCTATTAAGATCATGATGCTTCTCTACTGACTCACAAATTGGGTCCAACTTGAGCCATACGTTTTAATTGATGACGCAAGGTGACACATTTGGCGCAACTATACAACTTTTTATAACAAGGTTGTTGAGTTCAAATCCATGAGATTTAAAGGAAATCTAAATTAAATATTATCACAGTCAGTTACTAGTACAGCCCCCCTTGACATAAATAACGAACCAATACGGTTCACAACAGCTTGGCCTGATAGCAATAAGCCCCGTATCGACCAACCAACCACAATTAAGTAGTACTAGCACTGTAACATCGATACTCCTTGTGATGGTACGTCGTATAGTAGGGTTCGGTAACCTACGCTTAACTTATCCTTAGAATAATAACGAGTTGTATAAACAGCGTTTAACCTATCTGTTATAGATGTAAAATAAACCACGTTGTGAAACTGTGTAGCTCGTATAGTCTGGTAAATGAGTTTAAAATTATGTGATACAGCTCATTCGATTCGGAATTATGTCTAGATCATTTTGTGAAAAAAGTAGACTGGTATATTAAAAGCTCGAAAAGTTATAAACAATTATAGATGATTAACACTAGTGTTAAGTTTTTCGCTTATAGTTCGTAAGCTAATAGTTTCTTTTTTATTTTGAAAAAAGATATTTATCAATAATTTTCATATAATGTTGAAAATTGCCGTCCGGTTGCCACATTGAGGTTGCGCGCACGGAGTCGCAAATTAGTATTTCTTTTTGGGTATATAAAGTAGATTTAAATTTAAAAAAAAAAAATGTATAATGTATAACTTCAAAGAACTGATTGGAATTTTTCATGAAAGTTAATGATAATATTAAAATAATTGTCATAAAATTTTATCACCTAGTGGAGGCTTTATTGTATAGTGCTATAAAAGCTTAAATAAATGTAATACTTTGTTCATAATTATTATTTTAAGTTAACAAAAAAATGAAATTCACCGTAATGTATTTTTTTTTCATTTCAAGATATTTATTAACTGCAAAAAAATTTGTTCCATTTGTTAATAAGTTTTTTATAAACAAATGGACTATTTCAATATTTAAAAATCACATTACGACTTCATGAAGAACTGTCATTTATGAATTAAAAAAATTGTTTTCATAATAATCATTTTTAATTGTTTATAAATGTTTTTTTCATGTAGCTATTGTGTAAATAATTAGTTGGGTAAAAGTTGAATTAATCATAATTGACAGGTCTGTACAAATTAACAAACAAACAATTTTTTTCATTGTTTATTATATTAACAATTTGTTGTAAACAAATTGTGAAGTTTTCTTTTTTTTTTTCTTTCTTCTTTTAAGTGCTTCAAAATACCGAAAAAAATATTATTTCGATTTTGTTTCAAAATATACGTAGTACAAAAGTTGAGTTCAAAATTAATATAACTTTTAAACTGTTAGAGAGAGTAAGTAAATATCTGAAACGAGAAAAGTTCCGAAGATTTTTGTAACAAATTGTTAATATAATAAACAATGAAATTGTTTATGAAATTGAGAATAATTTTTTTATTATTAATTTGTGGAGAACTGTCAATTATGATTAAAAAAATAATATTGAAATAGTACATTTGTTTATAAAAAACTTATAAACAAAAGGAGCTATCTTATTTAGTTGACAAATGAAAAAAATTACAAGATTACGGTGAATTTTCTTTTTTTGGTAACTTATAATTATAAAGTATAAAATTTATTTAAACTTTTATCACAGTATCTTATTATAAGGGTATAAAAGAAAAGCCACATGAAGCCCGAAACATTTTTGATGGCTATTATTTAAATTTATTTTTTAATTTGCAATGAAGAAAGTCCCGGAAAAGTTGTTATTAGTGGACTGGTACTTTTTTCGCACAATGATTTAGTCATAATTCCGAACCAAATGAGCTATATCACATAATTTTAGTAATAGCATGTTCAAGTAACATTATTTTGAACTCATTAACTAGACTAGTATGTACAATATACTGTAATCGTGCCCGGATGGCTGTTAAAATGTATATAAGGTAGTGTAACACAGCGATTTCGACTTCTCGACACAAACACACCCATTCTCTTTAAGATCGGAAGGTATTTTTTAAGAGCAGTGTTTTGGAATTTATGCGAGTTGCGTCAAACCCACTAGTACAGTCATTCGAATCTAAAACGAAAGCTTATCTCGAGGAAAGTTTCATATAATTCATATAATTATTGATTTCACTCATTAATCATTCATTTCATATAATCCTCTACACCACTGACAAATATCCTTGATTACCCCGCTTATTTGATAGAAAATTACAGTTACCATAAACAAACACAAAATACTGTATACATTTGAATGTTACGTGGATTATCATATAACAAACCAATGTAAAATGCAGTTGAAAAAGTTTGAATAATTTTTTTCTCCTTTTATAGCTGACCATTTAAACTCGTTCTCAGTCCCTTTCAAAAACTTTAATGGGTACTTTTCTCCACGTCTACCTCGTCCCCTATTTCTTTTGGAGATTTTCAGAATTAAATATATCGGCATCTGTTAGATCCTTGTTGAGAACGTCTTTCTATCATTCTCACCTGAAGACTTCTTTGTTTTCAATTTGCTTGTTTTGCATTCTTGCTTAGTCTGTGAATCAAATTTCATATTTTAATAGTAGAAATCTCAAAATAAAATCTGTTTCTCAAAAGGGAATTTACGAGATTGAAGAGCACAATGCTGAAATTCAGAGAGATCTATTTTGATGACTGAATTCTGCAAGTCAAGAAATTTGTTTTTAATCAAAATTTTGGTATTTGGTACCAGATTTGGCCAGTTGGCCTGTATAAGACGGAAATTTAGTACGAAAATATTCCAAATTTCGGAAATGAATGTTAATGCTAATTTGATAACAAAAATAAATTTTATAATTTGCTGTTGTTCCTTTGGTCGATCTTTGATTAAGTTTGTCGGGTATTGATTGCAAATATGGCGTAAAACGTTGTTTGAGGTACATCCGCGTATTTTTAATAAGTGGAAAATAAGGTTACATTTTGCTGATAAGAATGTTATTAGTAAGTACTACTATTCCAAATATCTATAAACGAACCTAATGGTGTACAGATAATTTTTGGGAAATTTCTGTTCAAAACGTTACCTTAATATAAATGTATCAGTGTGCTTAAAATAAGCATATACAAAGTGCGAACAAAGTCTATCAAAAATCAAAATTGCATTTTTACCGAAAATTTGGAAAAAAAACATACTCGGCCCAATTTTTACATCTTTAAACAGTTTTATTGAAAGAAACTTTAATGTTTCTAATTAACCAGAGGACTAATTTACGACAGATGGTGCATACGATTCTGATTTAGTAAGAAGACTTATACAAAGCATGATAAAATAATAATAATTTCATTGTTATTTTATTATCAGATGAATCTATGGATATTGATTCGCAGACAAATTATCTTTAAATATCCGAAATCGCTGACAATTCCTTCCGAAACTATTTGTTGGGTGTTAATACCGCAGTAGCAAATATGGTGCCTAGTAGTTCTCTTATGAAGAGACTAAACTCTTCTTTAAGGCGGAGGAGTATATTTTTTGAATAACTCCTGCAAAATTTCGGAAAATATCTCTTCCCTGTCTAGTTAAACGTTAAGTGTATATCTGCTTAAGATACTTCTCTTCCATCGTTGGCGACTTGTAATATAATTACTGGAAGCTCTGTAATTTACGTACGTTACTATTTTACTAGCGTGTAGGTATACTATGTATATAACTTAGCCACTCATTGGTCGTTTTTCGTTGGACTCATATAGAATTCTAACTTCGTAGATATCGATACGCGTACGGCTTCTGAGTTGAAAAGTTTAAAAATCTATCCGCTTTTAGATAAATAAATAACATTTCATGTACTATATAATCGTAAGTGTAAATTTGCGTAAATGGTATCGGCAAGCGGGCATTATCTGCTACCAATATACCGAGTGTTTTAAAATAACTTAACAGGTACACAAATAAAACCACTAATTATACATTAAAACAACCGCTGTATTGATAGATCTACGAAATCAGATTGTTTACAAAAATATCAATTATTATCATTGTTACTGTTTAGCAAGTTAGGGTTATCAATTGTTTTGAGGACATCAGATAATGGGTTCTCATGTCGATCACTGTATTCTCGAAATTTATGAATGGATTAAACTATTAAAAACACTGTTACTCACCTGTGTGTTTTGATCTGCGCTTAAAGTTGTTATTAAAAATGCAGTTTAGTCTCATGGGGACAGCACATAAGATGTAACCACGGTCTAGGAGATGGAGTTTATACTAAATACTAAATAAAATAGAGCATTTGGTATTCACACACCGAATGAAAATTTATAAACACCTTCCAATTCCAGCTTATGAGAGAACCATGAAAAGGATTTTCTACTCCCGGTAGACTTTAGCCTCGTTTAATCGTTTGTCAATCCTGATCACCTTTCACTCTAATGTGCTAATGCTTTTTGCAAAAATATAACTAAAGGTCGTAGCAAAAGTCTTCTTTAGTTACTCGTTTGTTAATCTCTCTCTCCTCTCATTCCAGCTCAAATAGTGACTAATTCTCATTCAACAATTTTTTTACATTTCTGTTCTAAATAATATTTTCACATCTTCTGGATTCCTCCTAAGTTTCGCTAATCATCCTGTTGGCTTCTTCACAGTCTAACTGAAACAAAATCATAATAGTCGAAGTTAGACAAGACTTAGGATTCACAGAAAACTCGATTAAGATGTTTTGCTTACTGCATGTCTGTTACTGTATAGAATTATCGTGGAATCAAAATATTTTTGAAATATTTTTTAGGATGTTATTTAATTTTGAACTACTGATGACTACAATTTTTTTGTTATAAAATTAGCATTCTTATAAATGCCATAACGCACGATTAGGAATCAAGTTTTTAAGTGCTCATTCATTTAAGTTCCAAATTCCTGCGTGTCATCTGCAAAACCTTGAATTCTGGAAAATTTATCTCGCGTTAGTTGTTTGCATAGAATTTTCACGGAGCCGAAAGATTTGTGAAAAACATTTTTTTGGGTAATCTTTAAAATCTAAGCTTATTATTTAAAATAATTCCGATATTTTTGTCACATTTTAATTTAATTTTAGACTGATCTTGGGACACATGATCTAAGGTTTTGAGGGCTTCAATAGTATATATTTCAATTCTATAGATTGTAGAATATCAAAAGTGTAAATAGAGAGGAATTGCCTCTAAACTTCTCCTTTTTCTGAGTATTTATCAATAGCAAAAATAGATTGACATTTTCCCTACCCACGGCTCATCATTAATAATATTATGTATTATAGCATGAAAGCTCTGAAGGCAAGGTGAAAAGCACTAAGGCAGGATACATTTTTCTATCATAACTTTTTAAAAGATCATTCAATACATTTATTGATGTACCAAATCCTCCAAAAAACCTCACTGAGTGTTGAGGATAATGCCATGCTCTATAGCTTCCAAACCTGGATTGTTGTTGACTGACTTCACAATATTCCTACATCGCTGTCATTCTGTCACAGTATCGAAGGGATCATCAATATTCATTACCCATTAGGCTATAGAGATATTATCTGTCCATCGTGGCATGGGCAGGTCTTCTTCTCATAGTAGATTATTTACATGTCCAGCCCACTGCATTCGTTTAGATTTCACTTTTACCAAAGATCTTATGGCTTATGGCCAACGGAACATAGGAGATCCAATGTAAACTTTTATCTGGCCAAATATTGACTCCCTTGTACATTTTAGAGCAAAGTTGTAATATTTTTGAAGGAGCCGTTATGATTAACACATGTGCCGAGTTTGAATAAATTTTAATTAACCAATCTTCAGTTATTGCATTAAATATGATGGCAAAATTGCAGAAGGTCAATACCACAAATACCAGCGAATATTTTCCATGACGCTATTGGCACAACGTCGACATCAAGCTGAACAATGACATATTAAATAAATGTTGGTTTACAATAAAGACATCTCATTTGGTTTCACAGATTTGAAATAAACGAAGGGTAGATCAGAATGTTTTGCTTAAGATCAAACTCATACTCGGTTCTTCAAACCTCCTTGGCACTTAAAGCGTCCTTGGAATTAATTTCATTTAAAGGACTGTTTAAGCAACAAGGAACGACTATAAATTTGACTCTCAAGTTTTTTATTAAAAATAATTCATAATTATAATAAAAATACGGCTACAAAACATTGCTAAACATGATTTTTTAAGTAAATGTTCAAATAACCCTCCACTAACAGTTAAAGGGCTCATAACATTCATTTCTTACATTGCTTAGTTGATACTTGAAATCCTGTCACATTGTAAGGAAACATCGTTTTCTAATTAGTAAGGATTTTCAAATTTAATATTTTTCAAGTGAGGTTAGATAACCTGGGTGGCCAAAGGATTCGGCACTTTGGGACAATAATATTCCCTTTAAAGGTATTTCCCAAATACTCTCAACCATACTGGAATTACTGGAACTGGAACATCCATCTGGTACTAGATCTCCTGATCTTCGCGAACACCTTCTTCTAGTGCGGGTTCAATTTGATTTTGTAATAAGTTTAGATAGGTTTTCGCCGTGAGGTTATTGTCCATAAAAAATGGCCCAATGTCCGCAAATTCCCACCATAACATTTATTTTTTGAGGATATTGGCTTCTAATATGAACAAAACCAAATTCAAGTGTCCTGGTTCTAATGACGCCAGTTATGAACATTTGGTCCGTTGTTGAGTGTTGAGTGAAACAAATATTTTTTTAGAAATTCCTATTATTATTTCCTTTTTCCATCATTTCAAAACAAAATGCTACTCTTCTTTCTTCGCCACCTTTCCGGAGCTCTCGGTGCTTTTCGTACTTATAGGAAAAATATTTATGTTTGATGTTTATTTACAGGTTGTCCAATAATCCTCGTAATAATCATTTTGTTTTCCTCCACATGTAGAAAAAAGTTCAAATCTCTTATGTCCCTTTTTTCTGCTCGATTGTAGGCATTTTCATCTGAACATTTACAATTATTTATTACTGTGCCTTCGGAATTGATTAATAATACGTTTAATTGCTGAAATCGAAGGTATAGTTTTAGCAGCAAAAATAAACTGAAAACATTGCAAACACTGCTCTATAAAACGTAGCCATGGATCTAAAACTACATAAATATTCCGATTAATTTGGGAAAAACTCTGGAAATTCGCATGTTAAATTATAGAAACAAAAATGGAGTCTACTAATTTGCTACCATGCATAGTTAGACGTGTAGCATCACTTAAAACTTGTGTGCAAATAACTCATATTGCGTTGTCACACAAATAGCTCTGCTCACATCAATATGTTAACTTATCGATAATGGAATCCCTGTCTAATTAATCCGCACACTTTCATTACGGCAACTCTTGCAATGAAAAGAAGGATTCGTACCTCTTGGGCCGCAAATTCCTTCGATTCTCCCTTGCAGCTCGACAAAAACGTTTCGGGACAAAGGCAAATAAAAGGCGCAAAGTGCTGAGATGAACTCACGACAATAAAACAACCTGACGAAGCAATCAAGCGGGTCTTTCCGCCAGGTTGGGGGAGACAAGGGGAGTAAAAAAAGGGGGGGCGAGATTAGCCAGATACATCACGGAAACACGAAAACTGAAGCCAAATTGACCGAGGCGTCGTTAGATGGGGTAGATTTGCTCTCGTGTGAGGGATCGAAAAGGGGCACGTCGAGGGCACGGAGGGAAATTTGTTATCTGATAAGAAAGTTTCGACGTTCTCGTTTAATCGTACACTACTACAGAATAAACTACACTAGGATGCCAAATAAGTATTGACACATCTTAATACGCAGAAATGCCACACAATTATATACCCTTTTATTAGAACAAATGTACACGACCTTTACATTTTTTCTCTAGATGGAAAGTAATATTCTCAACAAAATTAAATAATTATAAATATATTCTATATTTTGCAACAAATTAATATCACATTATTAAATACCCTCTAGTACAACAAATACTTTTACATTTTTCCTCTCTATACACTCCGAGATACTAAATAATTATAAATAGATTATACATCTGACAAAAAAAATGAACCAAATAATTTTCCTCTCTATAGAAAGTAATATAGTCCGGGGCACTAAATAATTATAGATAGATTCTATATCTTACAACAAAGCAATCTCCCAGGAAAACTAAATAATGTTAAACCATTTCATTACAATAAATGCACAAAACTAATTACAGAAATATTCTACATCTTATAACATAGAAATCTACCACATTGCCTTAGTACAACAATTACAGAGGAGCTTTTCATTTTTTCTCTCTATGGAAAGTAATATACTACTAAATAATTATAAATAGATATACTACTAGGTAATAGATAGATATACTACTAAATAATTATAAATAGATTAGTATATATAACAACGAAACAGTATCGCAGGAAAACCCAATAATTATATACCATTTTATTACAATAAATTCACAGAACGAATTGCATTTTCTCCTCAATAGAAAGTTTAAATACTGAAATGCTACTAAATTCTTCACTTATAAATCGATTCTACATCCTAAAACAAAGAAATCTACCACATAATTAAATACCATTTACAAAAAATGCACAGCACCTTTAAATATATAATTCGAAGTACAAAATAATTATAGATTCTACGTTTTACAAAAAGAAATCTACCACATTATTAAATACCCTTTAGTGCAACAAATGCAAATGCACATTTCGTTACAATGTACAAATACACAACTTATATATTTTCCTCTCTTATTATACCCCGAGATATTAAATTCTTATAAATAGGTTTCTACATCTTTCAACAAAGCAATCTCGCAAATGGTTATATACCATTTTATTACGATGACTATATTACTAATTTTAAGCACTAAAACAGCCAGGTAGGTCAAATACCTGGCCTTCTACGTGCCATTCTCGAGACTCTTGACAATAGGTGAAGTCTGTTCATTGATATAAGAAAGTGACTAACTGATACGAATTAAGGAAAGACCCGGCAAGCTGTAAGAATGAAGTATGGCCGAACAGGTCCGTACTTTGCTTAGAATTTAATTATTTGGTGTTTTGTTTGGAAAGGTACTAACAATATTTATATATTTATGTTTAAATTTAAAATAAAATTACAAATTATTTGTATTACCCACTTAAATTACTTA